AAAAAAAAAAAAAGACCAGTCCTGATAATTTAGCAAGATCCTATCTTGAGAAAATTAAATGCAGCTGGGGACCTAACTAAGGGTAGAGGATCCCTTAAAATTAAAATACACAGAGATTCCATCTCACTTGAATCAAAATGGCAATTATAACTGCAGCCCCTGGTTCAATCCCCAGTTTCAAACAAATGAAAACAAAAAAACTTGGTCTCAGGGATTTAAGATTATCCCACTTCTAAACCTGGAGAGCCAGAGAAACAGAGGCAGCCATGAATGCCCAGCAGGAGGGATTGCGGTGGTGGCAGCAGTGTGTGCTGAAGCATGAGGAAAGGCCAGGGTCCTAGAGTACAAAGAGAGATAGGAACTTAGGGACACTCATGACCCCTGGCACTGCTAATCTGGGTGTTCCCTAAGTTCCTCCTGACTTGTGCACTGTTCCGGGTTGAATTGTGTGCTCCCTTCAAAGTATTTAGGTCCTAACCCCCATACCCATGACTCTGACTTTATTTGAAAATAGGGTACTGCCGAACATAGACAAGTTAAAATGAGGGCAACTGGAGCCAGGTGTCGTGGCGTGGCTTGGGAGGCTGAAGCAGAAGGATCACAAGTTCAAAGCCAGCCTCAGAAACTTAGCAAGGCCCTAAGGAATTTAGAGAGACCCTGTCTCTCAATAAACTATAAAAAGGGCTGGATGCCGATTGGTGGTTAAGTGCTCCTGGGTTCAATTCCTGATACAAAAAAAAAAGTTGGGGGGCCATACTGGAGTAGGGAGGACTCTAACCTAAAGACAGGTGTCTTATAAAAAGAGGAAATCAGGGTCTAGGGTTGTAGCGCAGCTTGGTGAAACAATATATGCTTGGTACTTGCAAGGCACTGGGTTAAAAAAAAAAAAAGGAAATTTGTCACAGAGAAGAGGGCACGTCACATAGAAACCAATATCAGAGTGATACACGGACAAGCAAGAACACCAAGGATTGCCAGCTAAACAAAAAGCTGGAGACGGGCTGGGGCTG